GTCATTCCCTTGGCTCATCGCAAGAAACTACCACCCTCGATGCCCCGAGGTAAATATTTCGTTAACTTTTCACAGTGACATCACAACAAAATGTTCAAATGTAACATAGCAAGTTGACTATTGCGCTGACTACTTCTCAGTCGCTTATCATTACGATTCTTCGGCAAGTGCGTCTTCCGTCCATCTCTGATAAAGGATCGATGCTTCAGCGCTCGTGATGTTGACTTCATACATCAATCGTGTTCCATATTCGATAACGCATTTCACGAAAGAACCACAGCGTGGACTTCTTAAAAACTACACACGTTTTTACCATGTAACTCTTTGTGGTCCTGTGTCGAGTGAGGCTTGTCAAACACGTATTAAAATCCAAGAATCTGGACCACAAAGGAATGATATGCAGTCAACGAGTCTGGTGAATTTTTTATGCTTAACCCTCTATAATCCTGTATTTTCAGCTACATATTTATTAACTATATTTTCAAAGTTTGATTAAATCCTATTATCAATGTGTATCAATTGTCTTCGACCCTCCATTGCATAATGTATTCGATTGAGTACACGATAAAAACAATTCCTGCTAATCCAACAATTTGTTTACGTGTATCGAAAATTTCTCACAGGTTGGGTATAGTTTAAAGGTTATGTTCGTTAAAATTCAACTTTTAATTTGAACTTCATTATCAACGTTCATCAATGGTCCTATCGTACAATTTTGTATACAAGACGAATGCAATTTAGGTTATAGAGGGTTAACGTCGGTTCAGTTGACAAATACAATCACGTGTGTAATACTTCTATGGGCGTAAGCTCGGCATAAAAAAAAAAGCAATTAACTAATATGGAAGGTGATCAGAAAACGAGTTTTACATGCTTGTGACTGAACGCACGCAGGGTAATCATTGAATTGATCGATGCAGTCGTTGTTTGAAAATTAACTTTGTACTCTACTCGGTATAGTTTACGTTTGTTCTCGTGCTTTGAGTTGTGATCACTTGTTAGCTTGAACTATGCTTCCTCTTAGCTGGTATACGAACGAAATGCTAATTCATTTTTCCTGCTAGTACTTAGATGAAGTCTAAAACTGTACATAATGATTGTACCATATATGGAAACTTACTATTTTAACAGCTGCTTTTAATATTAGTGACTGTCATGAAGCAAAGAAATTCGTTTAGGGTCAATCCTACATATATTATTCAAAAGAATAAAGAACTAATGTAGAGTGTGTCATGGAAGTTAGATATTGAATACAAAAGCCTACAGTATTAAATATACAGTATTTTGTCCGTGTCTGTTATTTCATTCACTCTTTGAAATCTGATGTTTGCTTTTATTTCCAAACTTTCTCCATTTCCTAATTATTGTTTTGAGCAGTATAATAGTACTAATATTGACAAATCAGTACAATATTGACATTGGTAGATCTGAAATAGGAGGAATGAACTAGATTTTTAATTTCTATAAAATTTACAGTTTAGGTATAGCTATGCTACTGAAGATATAATGCCTAACTGCAAATTTAAAAGCTTACATATAACAAGAAAGTTTTTGTTTGTCCTTTAAGCATTAAAGTTGTTAATAGTTTTATTGAGTTTCTCTTTTAACTTGTGTCAACAATTCAAATTCTGAAGTTTCAACAACATTTTCAGAATAAGCCTGTGCTGAGTGTTAAATGTAACTAATTACTAAACCAATTATTATTCTTATATATATGTATATATAATATACTATACAGATGAAAATTAGATTTAATTATTTTACATGTCTTCAAAGTAATTTAACTAATAAATGTTGGCAGTAGTCGCTTTACATTATGCAAATAGTGATTCTAACGAATTCAATGATTACCCTATAGAATCGTTGTTTTCGTTGCATCGTGTTTACACCCTAAATATTTTTAAATAATTCTATGCATTTGAACAAGCCGATCTAACTTGGCTTCATACAAAAAATTCCTCATTGATGTGGCATATGAAAGAAAAAAATACTATAAACAAAACACAGCCAATTGGATTGACCTTACAATAAAATATTTTGAAATATAACTTTTCTTGAAGAAAGTAAATACAATGGGAATGAAATATTACTATATTAAATTCAAAATACTCTCGAACTTGAGTGTATCTGGACGATTACAAAATGGTTGTGCTGTGTATAAAACAGAAAATTCTGTAAACTTTTGTTTCCAACATAAAAAAAGTTCTTTGTTCGTTCAAATTACATTCCTTTGCATCTAATTTCCTCGAAGCTCATTTTTCTCGGATTCTTTATCATCAATTTTTATAAACTATAATAATATCTTGTACACGTTTTCTGTTCATCGATATTAATATCGATATCGTATAATAGTGTGCAACGAATTTGTATATAGGATTACATTACGTCTTTAATAATCACGGTAATAAGAAGAAATAAATTGCTGCTTAATTAATTTGAGCAAATCGAATACTCGAACAATTCGATTTTATCAAACTACACAAATTATAATTGCAATTAATATCACTTGACCGTGAAGGTTACTTTCTCTGAAATAGAGGAGTATTCGAACAATCAATCGTGTTCTTTCGAATCAGCAAATACCCTAGGTAGAAGTTTCACTTAGTTCAAGTTTAGAATAATTACATAAAACAGGTAAAGCTGCAGGAAAGCCAATCGCTGAAATCTACAACAGTCAACCATCTACCTCGTTATAATACCTGAACAGTCTACAATCAAAAGCAGTCTTTTAAATCGAAACGCATAAGAATTGCGGCGGCTGTCTCATCGCAAAGATCTCTGAAACTAACGTATTTATAAGAAAATGTCACAGTGGGTCTACCTTTGTTTCTCTTTTACTTTTATATCAAACTTCTCACTTTTCTCACTTTCAACCATGGCGTTGAGCTCAAAAGGCTCAGAAGAAAATAAAGGAAGGTGGTTGGGATATGATTTACTTTTCAAAGACTGTTTCTACCAGCAGAAGAGTTTGCGTCGGTTTCCTGAAATCAGATTCGTGCGAAATTGCGTTAACGAGCAGGAAACTTATTGTCACATAGATTTGGCACAGAAGCTAGTACGCCTGTACTTCAAAGCTTCATTGAATCGCAGGACCACCTGACGAGATGCTTGAAAATCGTCTCCTAAGATTCCTCGAAGCTTTGGCGCGCTTCCAACTGGTACCACGACTTGCCGAGGCATGTGCTTGGACATGGTGAAACGCAAACATCGCTTTTTACATTAGTCAGACGATGGTCACGTTAAAAAAATGAGTAAAATCTTATTCAAGTAATAGATAACGAATAAAACAAATGTAAAGCAAATTTAATTACTCATTCGAAATTTGTATCTGAATAAGATTTGTGCTCATCTCTGATTACATTTACGCTGTTACGCATTCGCTGGAAGTCTTTGCGCTACTGGCAGTAGCTCGAACAAACGCTAAACCGGGGTTGGCTACTAAACAATTTTGAAAGGTTCCTCACCCCTGTTCTATACTGTGCTACTTTGCCTTTTTTGAGTGTGGGGGGAGGGAAGGGAGCTAAGCCAGCAACAACGTTGTTAAAAATATACACAGAGGCTGATGTGTTTTCCTCGATGCTGTGCAACGTGTAGAATGACACGACATGCGAAATGAAAGCGTTTAATTAAGACGATGGTAACGATTATGATCACGCGTTTCTTCTCGATAGTCTGGTATTATTAAAAATTTAGAAATTGCTTGAATCACTATCGCCGAGCGAACGTTTGATATAATTAGTGTCTGATGCGACGCAAGGATTTTTTGGTTTCAGTCTACAGATATCCCCCTTTCTCGCCGATTTCGAATAGCGTTCCTTGAAACTTCTTTTTTTTTTACCTATCTTATTCAAGATTCCTGCGTTTACCTAAAAAGAGTATATTCCAAAATTAAATACATATGTACGTATGTATATGTATATATATATACAAATATATCTATTTTACAACGCAATATACCGAAATATTCTTCAGCTCTCGCAACTATACACATATATAGTTTATGTACGACTCTGACGGTCCTTATTCTCTTTCTCACAAAGCGATTAAATCTGATCCAGTCGAGAATACGTACTGTACTGCGTTTATACAGAACAGACACGTACAATGTAGGCGCGTTTTCAAAGATGAATTCAACAAGGAAAATTAATCGAATAGAACTTGTATAAACGTTCGTCCTATTGTACATTATTTCATCTATTGCAATTCAGAAACAAGGACACGCGTAACAGTATAAAGAATTGTTTATTCTTCTTAGATTCGGAATTCATCTTTGAAGTTTCGCCCACAATTTATGGTACACGATGTACAAAGAAACCGAGCGATTTTCGTGCGATCAAAGCATGACACGATGAAATGAGAAATTCGATTGCTTATATCAAATGAACACACCTAACGGAAGAGGATAAAATATAATACGGAACGTCGATGAAGAGAATTGACAAAAGAGACAGAGACGAATTCGATATACAATATAAGGACTATTCTGTACAATATCGCGTTATTCTAAGGTAAAAGCAACAACTGCATTTCTTTTTTTCATTTTTTTTTCTTCTTTTTGCCAGTACGATTCCAAGATCCGCGACAACGGATCGTATCGTCCGCGCACGAGTAAGATTTAATTATGATACAACTGATTTGGAAATCAGCTCCGTTAAAAACGTATGACCACGACGTGTAAAAATATTAGCGATCGGCGCCGATATCTCTAACTTTACAGTTTAAGTGCACGTAAGTATACAGATTAACGCAAAGAACGATCGAGGATGATGTTAATATTGTTTCGACTTTCATTAACGATTCTCATCTGACAATCTCCTAACGAGGAATCCTTCAATTGACATCTGTTCGCAATGAAACTACGCGTATGTACCGAGTGGAGAAAATTAAGGAACACGTACTTTTTTTCAATCTTCAACTTCTCGAGTTTAAAGACTGAAACTGTCTTCCATTGCTTGAAAGATGGACATGTAACACGTGAACGTTACATTTCCATGCATATTTGTTCGACTATTCTTATTTATTTTGTAATCACAAATCCGTCACCTACCAACATAAAGTTTAATATCATATATATATATATATAGACTGTTTCACTTCGAATTCGTCTATATGTATAGTATCACCTAATCTGAGACACTAAGTATGTGAGACCTAAAAGGGTCTTTTGTTCTGTCTTTTAAAGTGTTTTTAACTTCTAAAGTCGACGATTTGAATGCTTCTGAAAATAATATGGCATCGATTCTCTAATAAAAAAAAATGTACTTCTTAAAATTAATAACCTATTATTAATGATCATCGATTGTTAACGGATAACATGAAAAATAACAAAATAATACACGCATGATGCGATCCTTTTGTCTCTTATCACAAACAAAAGCAATTCAGAACATAAAAAAATAAACATTTCTTAAACCACTTTCTCCTAATTGTACTTCACAGCGAAAGCGTTAAAGATCGCGTAAAAGATCACAGAGAACATTCGTATAACAAGCTTCTCCATATTTTCAATAACTTTTCAAGTATTAAATGGGTAGTTTCACTGCCTTAAACTCGAGCCTCATCGATTAAAAGAAAAAATATACACGCCCCTAGGTTTGCTGCACAAATATGTAGAGTTTCCTAGCGGACTATAACCCTTCGACGAGTCCAATTTGAATAAAAATCGGAAGAATACAACACCACCGAATTTCCATATACTCCGTACGTCTGTATTCATAGTTTATACGTTTAAAATATATATATATATTTTTTTTCCGTAACGTTTATCTAAGCGACGAACTTCGAAACATTGTATCCCTATTAGAAGAAAGAAACGGATGTTCTGCGCGCGTGGTACACGGCTCAATGTTCAGAGAATATTAACAAGAACGTTACCGTTTGAAGAAAAATTATTCCGTAAGTTATACCTCGTTCTGGTAATGTTCAGCTCGCGGGCGTTACTTGGGAAACGGTGAACGGCGTCACCTGATAGAGAAAACACCTGTTGCACACCCTCACGGGTTTCATGTGCCCGTAACGAGGTAGGGGAACGTTGTTGCTGCTGCAACGACCGCAGAACACCTTGCCGCAGTTTCTGCAATGATGTCTTCGTCGCACCACGGTGAATCCTGCTTGACAGGCCATGCACCTTGGCGCGTCATTGTCGGGAACCCAGGCTGGTGCTCTTTCAACGCATTCTTCTCCACGTTCGGTTACAGGAGAACCTGCAAACAAGATCAAACGTGTACGAAAGATTAAGTTAATGCAACATCACATCTATTTTCTGACAACTGATAGTGGTGCATACCATTATTTTGGTCATTCATCGCAGGAGTTTCATCTAAATCGTCTTCGTATTCTTGCAACGAATCCTGCTGATCGTTATCGGTACCCGTATCGTTCAAAGGACTTGCTAATTGAGTATCCGTCGTTACACTTTCATCTTTCGTCTCCCCGTCTTCTACGGTTTGACTACTGTTCATAAGAAACACGCACTTCAAAATATTGCGCAGATCCGAGGCGAAGTTTGTCTGCAACTGATCAGCCACGCCTGCTATGCACACGAACAGACGATGGACAAGATCCTCCGACGACCTGAAACAATAATAGCAATCCATCTTAGTCAACTTTTATTTAGACTCGATTGTACGATTGGTTTTATCAGCAACCAAGATATAAATCCTCGTCAAAGCGTAGGAAGAATGTTATTACCGAAACTTCGCCCGGATCTGATTCCTATTCGCTATCTCGGCGGCTTGCATCGCCAGGGCGATTTCCTCGTCGTCCTGACAGTCGCTCTGAAACTCGCTGGTCTCTGAGCTCGAGTCGCAGCAACTGGAACAACTGGAACTGGACCCCACTTCAGGCTTCTGAATCAACGTATGATCCGAATTGAAAGACTGCGTTCCAGAAACCGCCGACGCGTTCACCAGTCTTATCGTTCGCGTAGCTCTCTGTATATTATTGTCTTTTATTGCATTCTGCATCCCGTAGGAAACGTTCTGCGACATCACGGGTGAAACTGGCTCGGTCACCAGGCCACTCTTGTCCGTCCTTGGTCCCAAACCGTCGTTCATCAGTTCATTGGGGCTCCTGCTTCCCAATTTTCTCTTGGTTTGCTCCGAACGTGAGTTCACCCGATCGTGTTTCTCTCTCTTTTCGAGATCCCTCCTCTTCATTCGACACATCTGCTCCGATCTCGATCTCCTGTGGTCCAAAAGCTTCCTATTCTGGGGCGACAGGTTTCTCTGCATTTTCGACGCGACGCTGCAGGTTCGTTGCCCTGACGCGGGTGTGCTGCGCGTCTCGAAATGCTGCAATCTTGGACTGGCGTGAGGACTGTGGCTACCGAAGTTGGGCATCTGCCTGGTGTTCTGACTGGGATGCAAGCTGGCTCCGTAGCTAATCAGCCTGGGGTTCAAGCAACGATCCGTGGAGTTGGACCTTGAACTTTCCGTGCTCGTGGCGGATCGTACGTTAGGAAAACTCGGCGTCCTGGTCTCCTGCATCGCCTGGTGGACTACCTGACCGTTCCTCTCGTGTTTGCGCTGATGTCGTCGCTTCTGTTTCTCGTACCTCATCTTCCTTGACGCCATCTTGTCCTGAGCGTACTGCTCGATCTTTGTTCCGATCTTACCGATGTTCTGAGACGTAGACGGACAATTCTCGCACTTCAGGTCGCTCCAGAACTCCTTCCTGGACGTCGAGGCGTCGATGTTCAGGTTCAGGTTCTCCCAGTTCTCGGTGTAATTAATCTGGAAGCTCGACTGATTGGAATCGCAGACGGATATGTGACCGTTCCCGTACGCGACCCCCACGAACTCCTCGTTGGTACCGTCAAAGTTCGAAGATATCCTTGGAATGTTTTTCGCGGCTTCCGTGCTGGCCGAGTGTAGAACCTCGATAGAATGGTCCATGGACGTGACAGTCTTGGTGCTTCTCAGGCTACAAACGCACGAGTTCTCAGAGATCGTCGAGCTCTTTCTCTTAGGCGAGTTAAAGTTAGAGCAGGAGTAGCTGGTATTCTCTTGCGTGTCCTCGTCGTCCAAGACCTGCTCGTCCTGATGAATCTCGTTGGCGAAGGTCTTCTTCTCCTCGGGACTCTTGTCGTACAGGCTCGTGTTCTCCGACGATATCACCGTGCAGATCCCCGAGTCCGTCTGCTCCGACATCTCGTTCTGACAATCTCCGTCCAACAAGAGGTTCGACAGAGTCTTGTTCGCCTCGGAGATGAGCTTCTTCGAGTCCAGGTCCGGTAGGGAGTTCTGAATGTGGACCGTCTCGCCCGTCACGTTGTTCTCGTGCGAGACCTGGTTCAACAGGTACTGCGTCTGGGGGATTTCGATGTTGCCCGAGGCGCCCAGCATCTCGGATATGTCTCTGGTCATGAACTCCTCTTGCTGCTTGTGCAGATGGTTGGCGCACTGGTCGCTGGAACTGGAAACGCTGCTCTCGCCAGTGTTCTGCGCCGTATTGACTTGCTCCAGGAAGACAGGACTCGCGTTATTCTCTTCTCTTCTCGAGTAGGGACAATCGTCGCAGGACAGCTGTCTGCTGTCGTTCGAACCACAAGAACCGTTCATCTTCACGCTGTATTGCACTTCGTCACAGACACTATCCCGTTCACTGGATGTCCTCGCACCACCGTTGCACCTAACACTCTCTTCGTAACCGTCCGTCGACGCGATTAGGCGGTTAGGCCCAGTCTCCACGATCATTCTCGTTTCACCTTGCCTATCATCCAAACGATCGACGTTCTCGCTTTCCTCGGCTAAACTTTTAACGGCGTCGTTCGCTACTTCGTCCATGTTATTTCCCGTGTTCCTCGTCACTGTGTAAAAATCTACGATGAAGTCTTTGCAGTTCGGGTAACCGGTATAAAAATTGTGAACGAACTCCTCGAGGTCTGGTATGTCCTGACACGCAGACTTGGACGACTGCGTGATAGGACCCGACGGTTCCTCGTTCGAACACAACAGTTTCTCCAGCATGTACAGCTCGCGGTTGTTCAACGTCCAGAGAAGCTCTCTTATTTTTAGAAGAAGCGTCTGAAACGAAAACATCGAGTGTTACTATCAGTGTTGTTATTGTTGTTGTTGTTGTTGTTGTTGGTGTATGACGTGTGGAGAGGTCAGTAAGCGACGGTTAGATTGATACTTAAGAGGACAGTCTGGCAATTTTAGATTAAACGATTAATTTCTTTTTTCTTTTTTTGTATTATTTTTCGAGTTTGAGAAGCATTATCTTGTAGAGATTGTGATAAAACTTGAAGGTCTGACAGTGTTATGGAACTCACGAAGTAAGCTTTGCGCTCCTCAGACCAGATTACTCCCAGATTTAGATAAAATTATTCATGTTCGTGGATTTACAAATAAAATCGCTGTTGCTTTCAAGCATTGATCGCAGGAACTTTCATTTTAAACACGATGGTTGTACACCTCTTTCATAATAAACAACTAATTCGAGAGAGCTGCTAACAGGGTTAAAATTACTCTAGTTACTCTCGGGTTGAAGTAGCAGTACTGTATTTCTGGACCAATGAGCAGTGTAGTTGACTACTGTTCGTTGTTAAATGCAATCGTTGGTTCGCTTACCCTAAAAGGTCTAAACATTTCACTAATGTTGTCTGGGGAATTGAGGCACAAAGGACCTCCAGGCGGAGCCAAGAGGCCGGAAACAATCGCCAAACGAGGAATAGTAAACATCAGAGCTGGCTCGTAATTATCCACGTCGGCTTGGCTGAGCAGTCCGCGTTCAAGAGCTCTTTGCAACGTCTCCGAAAATAAAACGCAAACGAGTTCCTGCTGCTCGTACTCCTTCGTCGATTTTACCGGTACCATGGCGCCGACGTAGATCAGCTCAAAATCAGCGAACAGTCGGTCGAAGATCTTCAACGACTCGATTAATTTCTCCATCGATGGGTCCAGCGGGTTCTGCGTCTGAAAAAGCAACTGCCAATAGAAAAGTCAGTTAAACGATGGCTCGGTGGCTGACTTGAAGAATATTGATTACTTGATTTAAATTTGATAAATGAATAGTGACTACTTGTTTAAAATTGTGTGAATGTATTACGTACAGGGAGTGTAATTTATCTATGGAGTATTGACTTATAAAATTGTTGATTATTAATTAGAATTGCGAAATGGTAAACAATATTATTGTAGTCAAGCATGTTTTGTAGGCAAATATAAATTGAACCAATCTAATGGCTTCCATTGTTAGAGTTTAATTAACATGAGTTATTCATCTTGTAATCTTTAATTTGGTACGTGTCGCGTAAAAAAATTTTACGACTAATATCGAATAAACTTGTATCACGTGCAATGATGCAACCAACATTGGATTTTTCATTGGTGTATCACAGTTTTTCGATAAAGATGAATGAACCGGTGACTTATCCGAGCGTCAATGTTGCCAATTGGCAACGCTACATTTCTTCTATTTTGATAAATAATATATAGCGACGGATCATAATTGACGCAAATTGTGTTCCATTTTAATAACGTGGCATATTCAATTTACGAACGTTGGATCACACAACAAATAAAGGTTAAAAGTGATTTCAAGTGTGATCGGCAAATAAAAGTAGTTGTAAATCAGTTGGTCATTGGAGCAATTCAGAATACAATTTTATATAGCCAACGTTCCAAGTTCTTTGGCTTCGGTCAAACCACTGAGCAACACAAAAAATCATATTCTGGGTGGCTCTAATAAATAAACTAATTAATATGTTTTTCGATATAAATGAATAAATATTAGGTTGTCCGAAAAGTTTCTTTCGCTTTGTTAATAAGTAATACATGCACAATAGTTTATGTTTTATGTTACATTACTGAATTGTGCACGATTCATTTCGCTCCATTACCGTTACAACATGAATATCTATGAAATTAGATTGTCTATTTATATAAACACGACCACATAAAATAATTGAGTGCAACTCGCGAAAGAAACTTTTGGGACAGCCTAATACAATCTACTCTTCTGTTCTAATTCCTGATAAAGGAAATTATCTAAGCTAAATTTGAATACGGTTTCGAAGGGTGAACGGGTTTAATTTGCCAGCAGGTGATGACGAATACCTTCAGGTTCATGTGACCTTTCAGCGCGTGCTCTCTGAGCAAATTCCTGACGATATCCAGGGACCTTGTCAGAGCCTTCGCCAAAGGTCTCATGGCTAAACTTTCAGTCTCCCTGTTCATGATGGAGGAACCAGCTGCCAGGCATTCCGCGCCGAACCACAGCTGCCCTGCCAGATTCTCCTGCATCACATCGTCGGGAAACTTCACCCTGAAATCCCGGTTCGCCCTGCTCTCTGGAATCAGGTCGTCCATTATCTGGCTGCATATCGTCAGCACCGTGTCCTGGCAACGGCGCAGCTGATTCACCAGCGTGGTGCATCTCTCCGGTTCCTGGCGGCCGTCGAAGGAGTCCAGTTCGCAGGCGACGGCGTTCAGAGACTCGTCAGCGTAGAAAAACTGAGCGAGCAGACTCGTATCGTCCCTCTGCGTTGGGCAGAAAGAAAACAATCTTTCGTTAGCTTTGTAATTCTTCTTCTGGAGGCCAAAAGACCATTTCCTGTCTAAGAGACGCACGGCATGTATATGTATTCATGACTAAATAAAGAAATTTCTTCAATAGACGCAAAGGGGAATGAATACTTATACTTAGGGCTGACTGCATATCGTTTACATCGTATCGATATAATTGTAGGTAATATCATTAGTAATTTTTAGAAAATTTTAGTAACTGACTAAATTTTTGCCAGAGTGGTTGTAACCCCGTTAAGGGTCGCGTCTCCCACTTTGGAAAAAACACTGCATTAGTGTGTACCGCTTCCGTCTCTCGAGAACTGCAATTCATCAATTTAAATGTCTGCCATCAGAGCACGTGCGACTCTTTTTCCTGCACTTGTTTATCAGCAATCAGGGTTTGAGTTCATATCCGAGCACCGGAGGGGGGGGGGGGGCACGTGGAAGCGTCCGTCGAATCACGTTTAAGAGTGACTCACATATGCGAGTCTCGTTATGTATTTCGGTAATAACTCGTCGACATAATTTAGTTGATACTTACCATTTTAGGTAATCCTCTTTTTTTTTTCCTTTAATTCAAGCAATTTATCATAAAATTTAATATATATTTTTTGAAGCTAAAAATATTATGGGAAAGTATACAGAGAAATTATAATGCACTTTATTTAGGTCTTAACTTTGTAACATAAAAACCACACGATAATCAAATTAATATTAGCAGAGCAAAATATTATTATTTTGATTATGTAGACCACAGTTTTTATTATTAGTAACGTCTCCGTAGTTTTCGAAACTTTTAATACTAACAATGAATTTACAGGTAAAATTGGAATCACCAAGGACTTTCCACGATCAACTTTTGATTTAACCCTTCGTAACTTCAGAAAAAATCTAATTTAACTTTCTCGTGAAGCTCGAATCAGGTGTACGATAGAGCTTCAGAAATTTATTCACAGAAGTTTCAACATTTCAGCAAAGTTCCTAAATCCTATAACATTTGGTACAGTCGTTCGTCGTAGCAAGCTATTATTATTTATATCTTGAGTTTCTGATCAATCGTTTGATCTAATTTTTAGTATTATTGCTATCTTAAATTAATTTACATTCAAGAGTGAAATATATATAAATTGCATACCCATAAGTATTACTTATCCTTTTTCAAAATCTTAAGAAACACGTTGTTACGTCACCAATAATGACGTAAACGTATGAGGAACCGAATAACCGCCTAGCACGTCCTTGCTAATGGATGTTTTACGATCCAGAGGCAGATAACTTCTTAAGCGCAGTGCGCTTATGACTTTCTCTCTCGATGCACTATTTCCCCTCTGCGTTTACTTGCTTTTTTTTCAAATAAAAACTTTTACTAATTGTAGACAGAACTGGAAAAACAATGGGGAAAATAAACTCGCCTATAACGGATATTGCAGCGGTAAGATCAATCATGAGTCAGGTGTGGAAACAGTGAAACAAAACATCTGTACTTTGTTATTTAATTCCACCACTCGCTGCGGATAGAAACACTCGTCTTTGGAGTTTGTTGAAACTCGACGACATCTATTGTATATTCATTAAAAATATTCATTAGAAACATGCAATCCTAAAAATATTTCAAAATATATACGCATAGTATAACGTAAAATAATTTATCAGTTTTAACATAAAGGAGTATAAAAATGTTTGTTGAGACTTATAGTAGAATTTGAAAATGTGGGAACAGGAAAGGATAACATTGTCTCCTTTTAAAGAAAATCTAGCTCGTATTATAATAAAACAATGAAGACACGATAAAGTATATCAAGAAATGATACTATTCAACGTAACTTTTTCTAATGGAATATTTTCAAAACGTTTTATTCTACTTTTTTTTTTTTATTACTTTTTATATAAGGATCTTTTCCACAAAATGAATTCCTTATTATTCCTTATCTTAGGATATACAAATAATGCTAATACTAGAAATAATTTCTATTATTAGCCTTTCGATCTCGCCATTCGAATTTAATTAAAAGTCAAACGACAAGCCGCAGGTTTCAAAGCTTGTTTTATCTTCGACACGGTTTATCGGGTTGAAAAAATAGAAATTGCTGCGTACCGTTTGCCTTATGTCCCCTTTTCGTTTACGCACGACGATGGTAAACATTCGTATCAGCGTGCTCTTTAACGCAGAAGCGTGGTTTTTCTGCAACGTTCTGTTTGTCCAGCGTTCCGTATAGACTTTGTAATTATTTGCGAAAAGAAATCCCACGGTGTTCCGTTTAATTAGCGATACGCGACCTTCGCGTACGCGGTTTCCTTGATTTCGAGATTAATGGAAAACCGAATGCAATAAAGAGCTTTATCTAACGACACCATTATTTAACGGGGGAGAAGATAAAACGCGTGCAGTCGTTCATCGTTTATCGTGCGTACCGACACTTTGAAACGCAGTAAAAACACTCGACGATGTCAGAGGCTATTAACAAAGCTAATTGCGAGAGAGATGCTCACGTCCGACGTGGATCACGTAGGTGCTCTGAATTTATTTCGATCGCAACGTGTAAAGTATGCAGGGAACTCGAGGATACTCGGTATAGGAAGAACGATAATCCGAGTGAAATAGATTTTTCACTTTTAGTCCTCTAGTGGGTGTAGTTTATTTTATTACTCGAAAGGGAAATTAGTTTCTGGTGGTTTATATATTCGTGGAGTTATATTTGTGTACGTGTAAATGATACCTAATCGTATATCTAAATCGATAAAGAAAATTATAAATTATAAATTGACGATGACAATCGTAAACTATTCTATACTTCGCGTATCTATGAATAGTATTTAATCGTATAAAGAAAAATAATAGGTGTACTATTTGTTTTCTTTTAAGTTCACCTTTAACAAACTTGAAAATGTTCGTAAACTGATCGTCGCATATCTTGTGTAGAAAGATGGGAAACGGCCTTGGGCAACGCTAACTAATACATAATTCAATTCGAAAGGTCAGGTACACATTTCTGAAAATCGATTCTCAATTTCATGTTTACTGGTGAAATGGACAAAACTTTCACGGCAATCTAGCAGAGTAGGTTCAGTCAATCCCGACCACTTTTTAATCATTGAAGATAAATCCTTAATTATTAACTCTGACGAGAGAAAACTTGAGTCTGGTAATTGCCACAAATGTAAATTACGCTGTTGGGAATAATGTGATAAAAACTCACGCTACAACAGTGATTTAATATTTTCCTTTCTTCGTATTAGAACAACGTTTCTAATTATAGATGCTATCGCTCTTATTATTTTAGCTGTATAATGTACATTAATTTTCTATATACAGAAATTTTCTTTCCTTTTGGAAATATTATTATGCTCGTAATTGTTTATTTTTTGACGCTGCGTGAATCACCTCGTTAAGTCTGCACGCATTTTCTTTTTTCTTTTTTTTTTTTTTGTATTTCTTTCTTTTCTTCTCTTTCTAGTTTTCGTCACTCTTTTTGCTATAAATGTTTGCATCACCGTTGCCACAAAATTCTGTCGACCATTCCGCAGTTATCGGTCGGCGCTAACTGGAGAAAACCTCGTTACGCTTTCTAAATCCGTTTTCGATGTTGGTTTTTTTTTATGATTCGTCTTCTGTGCCGCGTCTCCCGCGGTTAATGAGCGATTCACGTTTCGTTCGATATCGTTTGTTATTGATTCGAAGGGGAGAAAATCCGATAATACTTGAACGTGTTGAATCCCGCAGTCTGCGAAGCATCGAAAGCTAGAGAAACGGGAACTTGAACGTTGAACATTTTATACGGGCATTAGAATCTCATTTTCTCAATGTAAATTCATACATTGGATTCATACATTCATACATCATTTTTCAAGATTTAAATTTATGCATTAGAAAAGTATGTTTAAAATCTAAATTTATACATTGGTATGTTATTTGTTTAAATTTAAATGTGGACATTAGAATCGTATTTTTAAATTTTAAATTTTTTTAATCTTACTTTTTCAATTTAAATTTACAGATTAGAGTCTTGTTTTGTAGACGAAAATCTTAGAGTTAGAGCTGAGACTTACTTAATTTATTTTTTCCCATTTATACGACTCTTTTGTTTAAAAAAAAAACTGACATGAAATTTGCCTTGAGAGGAGAGTCACAAAAGCTTGAGAAAAATTACCAAATCATCACAAAACATGTTTTTGCGGCTAAATGTTGACAGAAACCGTCGTTGATTCATTAATTACAAAAGATAAGATGATAAGAGATACGGTCAAAGAATTTTACTTGTCCTTTCGGTTTACATTTTTAAGTATTAACAAATAATATTTATTAAGACCTAAATTAAGACACGAAATATCCATTAAATAAATAGCCTATCCTGGTTTAACCCATACACGCTACAATAATTATTTCCATTATAACAAACAAGATAAACACTTCTGATAGCAGAGATTAATTGATTCTCTCATCTGATAAAAAAAGACCAACGTGTTATCCTTGTGTGTGTGTGTGTGTATTTTTTTTTTACTAAGAACCATGAACCGAACAAGTGATAAGAACCATTGTCTCTCCGTCGGGGGAAACGAAGTTTGATTATTAAATAAATCAACGCTAGTCGATGCAATTAGTAGCGAGTCATTGTACCCTCCCATTGATGATCACAGTTTACGGAACACGAAGCATCGTGCTGGGGCCCCTTTTAATTACACCGTAGGTATAATTAGAGTCATTGTTTCGCGATGCACGGGCTGGTATCAATTTATAAATATCTCTCGAGTGGCTTTTCTCTGGTGTCGAATGCCCGTGGAAAATTACCAATCGTGTCACTCGGTGTCTAAAAGGAAACGTTTCGATTGTTACTGTAGAAGAAGTTAGAAGAAGTTCCCGAACCAGTAGTTGAATTACTATTTTCAATTATAATTTAATTTTGATATTGCTTGTGTCGTAATTTTTGCTAACAATAATTGAAATGGGGAATTAATTATATTGATAAATTTAATTA